ATTTTTTACTAAATGCTCAACTCTTCGAGCACATCATAAAAATACTGGAGAGAAAAATGCCATTGTGAATATTGTGATGTAGCATTTATCTGATACTCTTTGCTTATAAATCACAACAGTATACACAATAGAAACATAACGATATGAAATTTTTGAAAACTTTGAATGAGGTTTATATATTAGAAAAATATCAAAAAATTTATATTATAATAAAATTCTGCAAATCAAACTGAAAAGCTTTTTTTAAAAAAATGTATATAGGAATTTTGACTGCATGCATGTATGCATTCTGCCTGTAGAGGCCAAATGGTATCAGATTCCCAAATCTGGAGCTATAGGCAGTTGTAAGCTGCTGCCTGCATGTGTGCAGGAAATAGAACCCTGATTCTCTGAAAGAGGAACCAGAGCTCTCAGCCACTAAGCCATTTCTCAAGCCCCTGAGAAAAGCTGTAATAAAACATCTTGTTCAGCCTCTACAAATTCATGATTCCTGTCATGTTGTGCCCACCTTTAATCCCAATACTTCAGACACAGAGGCAGGGGTATTTGTATGAGTTCAAGGCTAGCCTGCTCTTCATAATAGATCAGAACAGGCAGAACTGTATAAACTCTGTATCCATAAACAATAATGACAAAAATGCATCAAAAATTGTGACAAAAACCTTTATTTTTTCCTCTAATTTTGCTGTATATTACTAAATTTATACTTCTGACAAACCTTATAAAGGTACACCATATATAACCACCTTATCTTGCTGTTCATTGGAAGTTTCACCCCAAATACATTCAGTTTAACAAATCCTTTGCCTAGTGCTAGAATAGTAATCATGAAATTCATAATGAAAGGAAGCACAAAAAAATGCTCCAATAAATTCTCATCTTTTATCCTCAAACATCTTCATCTTAGGTTTATACTAATGCAAATACGGAGAGGTTGAGAAACTGTAAAGAATTGGACTGTGAATGTGACATCTACAATTTATAAATCTCCAGGTCAGGGCTGGAGAGATGGTCTGTAGGACCCTGATTTGATTCACAACACCTAACAGGTAGCTCACAATTGTATGTACCTCTAGGATGAGGGTATCTGATGCCTACTGGATTCTTTAGGCACCATTTTCACATACTGCACAGACATACATGCAGGCAAAACATTCATACATAAAAAGAAATCCCCAAGGTTGCCAGGCTTAGTAGACTATGGCTTTCATCCCTGGATGTTGGAAGTAGAGACAGGTTGATCTCTGGGAAATTAAGGCAATCTTAGTCTACAAGCAAATACCAAGACACCCAGTGTTACACAGAGACACCCTGTTTCAAAAAAGGAAAGTTCTGAAGGCATTCAGAAATTACTTTTGAAGTGCTGAAGGAAAATGGGGAAGTATTTATTCTGTCTTAGAGTTTTTATTGTGCTAAGAGACACCATGACCACCACAACTCTTACAAAGGAAACATTTAATTGGGACTGGCGTACAATTTCAGAGATTTAGTCCATTATCATCATAATGGGACATGGCAGCATGCAAGAAGACGTGCTGGAGAATGAGCTGAGAGTGGAGGAATTATACCTGGACTTGTAAGCAATAGGAAGGAGTCTGAGTCTCATGCTGAGCTAAGCTTGAGCAAAACAGACCTCAAAGCCTGCCCCCACAATGACACACTCCTTTCAGCAAGGCCACACCTACTTCAACAAGACCAAACCTAATATTGCCACTCCATTTGGGGGCCATTTTCTTTCAAACCACCACATATTCTAAACTTTAAAATAATATATCTGTCCTTAATCTTAGTAGACCTTTACTGAGGAAAAAGAGACTCCTGTGACCCTCCTTCACCCATAATGAAATGGTAATTGTCCCAAACTTGCATAGTTGCTGTAGTGAGGAGGTGAGTGGGCATGCTTTCCATCCCACCCGGCTCCCTCACGGCTAGCTTTACACCCAAAATAACAGCACACAAGCTGTATTTATTTAAATACTGCCTGGCCCATTATATCTAGCCTCTTCTTGGCTAACTCTCATATCTTACTTAATCCATTTCTAATAATGTGTGTAGCACCATGAGGTGGTGTCTTACTGGGAAAGATTCAGCATGTCTGACCTGGCGGCTGGCTCCATTGCATCTGCTTGACTCATCTTTCTCCCAGAATTCTGTTGTCTACTCCACCCACCTATGTTCTGACCCATCAGGCCAAGCAGTTTCTTTATTAACCAATGAAAGTATGACCCTCCTCCATCAAGTTGCTTGTTCTCAGTACTTTTTGAACAGCTATTTCAATTGTGCATTACCTTCTACTATTGGTGAATGAATTCATCAATGTTGAGAGTAGTACAAACTGATAGTTGTAATCATATATATTTTTGATGGCAGATTAATGACATGTTCATTAACAAAACATCAATAGACTCTGCCCTTGGACCTGTAATTCCCAAGCCATGATTTTGTTTGTTTTACCATATTTACAGTACCAGACATGAATTCCCTTCTGGTGGAACTGGGGTCAATTCTATCAAGAAACAGGTTGGTTATTACTATAAGCAGTCATGCCAGAATTGCATGAGTGTACACATCTTGCCTAGTTGGTTTGCATTATTAAGACCTGTTACAGGGAGTGGGGTTCCTTGTTCCAGCTGCCCAGCTAGCGTATACCCGAAATAATCACACAGAAGCTGTATTAATTAAAACACTGCTTGCCCATTAGCTCTAGCCTATTGGCTACTCTCACATCTTGATTTAACCCATTTCTATTAATCTGTGTTTACCATGAGGTGTCTCCATGGAGGCTCTCTGTCTCTCTCTCTCTCTCTGTCTCTCTCTCTCTCTGTCTCTCTGTCTGTCTCTGTCTCTCTCTCTTCTTCCTTCCAGAATCCATTTCTGTCTTCACCTACCTGTTCTGCCCTATCAGGCCAAGCCATTTCTTTATTAATTAACCAATGAAAGCAACACATAAACAGAAGGACCTCCTAAACCAAAGACCATTAACATTCTTTCTGTCAGGCACATGTACAGAACTTTGTAGTATATAAAAGCTAGCTGGTAGGGAAAGTTCTCTGGTAAGTTCAAGGTTACTCTCTTATCTTGTAAAAAAAAAAGTGTTTTGTGTCTTCTACAATGCCATGTACTTATGGTGGCCAAGGAAGAGCAGTGGAAATGAAGACTTGTTTTGGTGGTTGTGCCTCTGTTGTTTCCTTATTCAGTAGTTTTTGAGGACTTGTTTTGGTGGTTGTGCCTCTGTTGTTTCCTTATTCAGTAATTTTTGAGGACTTGTTTTGGTGGTTGTGCCTCTGTTGTTTCCTTATTCAGTAATTTTTAGGCAGATAACCTAAATGGTAGGCTGCATTTCATTTAATAACTGGTATCTGTTAGCAGCATTATTTACCTGTTGTCGAATACCGCTGTTCACAGTTTTAAAAATTACATTTCCTTTTAACTTGTAAGACTCTTGCATACACTTTTATACCCAAATACAACAGGGGGAATAAGACAAAAGACTGCTTTAACATGATTCAAAGGACAAATAGAACAGTTATTTGCTTCAATACTTTGAGACATCAAGTCAATAGCATTCTGTTGTTTGTATAGTAAACCCACTCTAGACCAAGTATCCTGAAGGCTTCCACTCCCAAGGTCAAACCTCCTAATACAAAAGGAGCAGAAGTATGCTTGAATATCCTGACCATTGGTCATAATCTAACTGTAATGGGCCATCTTAATGTCAAAAAGATCAAGTGACCACACCCTAGGTAATGATGTATAGCCACACTTGTTGTCAACAACTTTGAACAAGCGAAAACTTTCTGACCTTCAGACAAGATGTAAACAGGATCACATTTTTGGGCCTCCACAGAGTACATAACATTTTTGTCTTTCTGGGTCTGAGTTATCTCACACAGGATGATTTTTTTTCTACTTCCATCCATTTGCCTGCAAGTTTCATGATATTTTTTTTTTAACCACTGAGTAATACTCCATTGTAAATATATAACACATTTTCTTTATCCATTTTTCAGTTGAGGGGCATCTAGGTGGTTTTCAGGTTTTGGCTATTACAAATAATGCTGCTATGAACATAGTTGCATAAGTTTCCTTGTGGTATGATTGAGCATCTTTTGGGTATATTCCCAATTGTGGTATCTCTGGGTTTTGAGGTAAACTGATTCTCATTTTTCTGAAAAATCACCATACTGATTTCCAAAGTAACTGTATAAGTTTGCGCTCCCACCAGTAGTGCAGGAATGTTTCCCTTACTCCACATGCCCTCCAACATAAGCTGTCATTAGTGTTTTTGGTCTTAGTTATTCTGACAGGTGTAAGATGGTATCTCAGAGTCATTTTGAGTTGCATTTCCCTGATGACTAAGGATGTTGAGCAATTCCTTAAATGTCTTTTGGCCATTTGATAGCCTTCTGTTGAGAATTCTCTGTTTAGATCTGTACCCATTTTCCATTGGATTGTTTAGTATTTTAATGTCTAGTTTTTTGGGTTCTTTATATATTTTA